TATGGGGTAGAAGTAGAAATAACTGATATTAATGATAACTTCCCGCGTTTCCGGGATGAGGAAGTAAAAGTAAAAGTCAATGAAAATGCGGCTGTGGGAACACCATTAGTACTTCCTTTCGCTCGAGATGCGGATGTGGGTGTGAACTCCCTCCAGAGGTACCAGCTCAGCTCCAATATACACTTCTCTTTGGATGAGAAAAGCGGAAGAGATGGACAGAAATATCCAGAGCTGGTACTGGAACAGCCCTTGGACCGCGAGAAAGTAGCTGTTCACGATCTCCTACTCACAGCTTTAGATGGCGGAGACCCCATACTCTCTGGTACCACGCACATTCACGTGATGGTCCTCGATGCAAACGATAATGTGCCCCTGTTCACCCAATCAGAGTACAGAGTGAGTGTTCCAGAGAACATAGCTGTAGGCACTCGGCTGCTCACACTAACCGCCACGGATCCAGATGAGGGAATAAATGGGAAATTGACATATTCTTTTCGCAATGAAGAAGACAAAATTTCAGAGACTTTCCAACTTGATTCCAACTTGGGTGAAATCTCAACTGTGCAACCACTGGATTATGAAGTATCCAGATTCTATGACATGGAAGTGGTAGCTCAAGATGGAGGTGCTCTTCTTGCCAGCGCTAAGGTACTAATCACAGTACAGGACGTGAATGACAATGCGCCTGAAGTGCTCCTCACCTCTCTGACCAGTACCGTCTCTGAAGACTGTCTTCCGGGAACCATAATTGCACTGTTCAGCGTACATGATGGTGATTCTGGAGAGAATGGCGAGATTGTGTGTTCTATTCCCAGGAACTTGCCCTTTAAACTGGAAAAGTCAGTTGATAATTACTATCACTTATTGACAACTAGAGCCCTGGACAGAGAAGAGATCTCAGATTACAACATCACAGTAACTGTCACTGACTGTGGAAATCCACCACTGTCTACAGAAAACCACATCTTCCTTAAAGTGGCAGACATCAACGACAACCCTCCCATTTTCCCTCACACCTCATACTACACCTACATCCCAGAAAACAACCCCAGAGGCATATCGATCTTCTCTGTGAATGCCCACGATCCCGACAGCAGCAACAACGCCCAGATCACTTATTCTCTAGCTGAGGACAAATTTCAGGGAACGCCTCTGTCATCCTATGTGTCCATCAACTCTGATACAGGAGCCCTGTATGCACTGGGGTCTTTCGACTATGAGCAGGTTAGAGAACTGCAATTGTGGGTGACAGCCAGTGACAATGGAGACCCTCCACTCAGCAGCAATGTGTCCCTGAGCCTTTTCATCCTGGACCAGAACGACAACGCACCTGAAATCTTGTATCCTGCCCTCCCCATCGATGGCTCCACAGGTGTGGAGCTGGCACCCCGCTCCGCAGAGCCTGGCTACCTGGTCACCAAGGTGGTGGCAGTGGACAGAGACTCGGGACAGAACGCCTGGCTGTCCTACCGCCTGCTCAAGGCCAGCGAGCCAGGACTCTTCACAGTGGGGCCGCACACAGGCGAGGTGCGCACAGCGCGGGCGCTGCTGGACAGAGACGCGATCAAGCAGAGCCTGGTGGTGGCGGTCCAGGACCACGGCCAGCCCCCTCTCTCGGCCACCGTCACGCTCACGGTGGCTGTGGCTGACAGCATCCCAGATGTGCTGGCCGACTTAGGCAGCCTCGAACCCTCCACTGACCCTGACGACGACTCAGGTCTCACTTTGTACCTGGTGGTGGCTGTGGCCTCCGTCTCCTGCGTCTTCCTCGCCTTTGTCATCGCGCTTCTGACTCTTAGACTGCGGCGCTGGTACACGTCGCGCGCGCTGCAGGCTTCGGGCAGCGGGTTGGCAGGCTTGCCCGCCTCTCACTTTATGGGCGTGGACGGGGTGCGGGCTTTCCTGCAGACCTATTCGCACGAGGTCTCGCTCACCGCGGACTCTCGGGGGAGTCACGTGATCTTCCCGCAGCCGAACTATGCGGACACGCTCATCAGTCAAGAGAGCTGTGAGAAAAGCGAGCCTCTCCTGATACCTGAAAAGATAAACGCAAAGGAAAGAGAGCTAGAAGTTCTTCAGGTGAGTTTTCTTTTCTTTTCAGTAGGGATGCTTGGAGCATTTTCTTTATTTTCATCATTTTTCTTCCACATTCAAAATCGCTTAATTATGTAGTGAATCACTATTTATTTGCTTTATTTTCTGATGAACTTGATTTAATTTGATAATTGATGTTTTCTCCATTTGTTTTCTAATTATATTTTGAGCTTAATGTTTCTTTCTATAATATGTGGGTATTTTAGAAACTCTAGCTGATCTCCAGATGCTTAAGTGAAGCAAGGATTATTTTTTAAAGTGGCTATACATAATCATTTTATGCAAAGACTTTCTTATACTTGAACTGTTTGGTAACAGTTGTTTGATTAGTCCAAATTGTTAGATGTAATATTCTCTTTTGAATATTTGCCTAAACACCATAGTACATATGTTTGGAAAAAGTATTCCACAGCATTGGTATTTTAGTACCTGCAACTTAGTAATAATAATAATTTGCATAAATCAGTGGAAGAATATAGAAAACATGATGAATATCAGAAAGACAGATTAAATTTATAGTGATGATAATATCTGTGGCATTCTAAAATCTGGAAAGTTTGGGTTAAATTATGTAATAATTGGACATGTGTATTTGTTGAGAGAAGAATTCAATAAGAGGGAGCCTTTGAATTGTGCTTTAGAATAAATTCCGTGATGCAGTTTAAAATCTCCAAATAATTAGATACAGTCATTAAATACAAATATGGCATACACTTGGCATCTTCTGGTTACACACAACCCCTCCACTTTTCAGGATCAACATGGACCTAATTGTTTGCATTTCTGCAAGTGCAGGTACAGTTCTGCTTTATTACAAGAGTTTAAGATCTGTATTTGGAAAGTCAATTAATGGAATAAAACTCAACTGATGAAATAAAATAAGACAGGACAAGAGAAATTAAAGATAAAATCCTCTGTCTTTGTTTTATCCTCCTCCCTCCCTCATGTGCTGCATATATCTGCATTACAGGCTAACCAGAGCTCCTCAGAGATGGGAATGCCTGCCTGACTGTAAAGATCAATATTTTTTTTCCTTCTGATGCTATCTGTGTAACTTCTTAAAAGAATAGTGTTTTTTTTCCCAGCTCTGTAGGGGTTCCCAGTGACTTTCTGCTTGCTTTGTACTGCTTACCTGGACCATGGATCCTTGGTGAACTTTACACAAAATATCAGTACATTATTTTTATATATGATCCTTTGTCTCAAAAAATGCATATTACTGTGCCTACAACTTCTAACAAGTGGAGCAGTTCTCAGAACTTTCTGAGAAACTGCTTCCTTGGTTTTAATCCTCAGTTTGGTTTGAATAAAATTCCCTTTTTTTCCCCTTAACTTAATAGTTAATTAAATCTTCACTGACATAATTTTAAAAATTATTTCTCAGGATATACTCATCTTAAACTATGATATTTTTCTGATGAAATACCACTTACTGGTCTGTGTGTCTCAAATTTCATGAATATGTCATATAATGGAAGAAGTGTGTGCCCTATTCATTTTTGCATATGGTTTGCTGGAGATTATTTTTAGATCCTTTTTTAAAAATATTTTTCTATCTTTTAAATTCCATACTTTCAACAACTTGAACATCAGCTACAAAGTATGAATAAACAGGGAAAATGGGAATAAAATATTATTAACAGACCCGTAGGTTACATTACTTAATCACATGAAAGATTTATCATGCATTTGGGAATGTAGGAACACTTGATTTTTCTTTTTTAATATTTACATGAAGGGAATCTAATTATATATGGGTAATTTTGACCTCACTGCATACAATGTGCAGGCTCACTGAATAGTGAATTCATCCAAAGAGTAGCAAGAGAATCTCTGTGATAGGTACAGATGTCATTCACTCATGCATGAAAACTTACTTTCCATTATTTTTGAAGTAAAAGAATACTGTATAGATTTGGGTATATGCTCTAGGTTCTTTTTCATGCAATGGGAAAATTTTTTTTCTATATCTCTATAAACTTCAATAGCCTTTACATAATAAAATGTTTGATCTATACACTGTGAGTGTATATACTATGTATACTCTATACACTTAAATATTTGAATCTTTAGTTTCATATGTGTTCTGAAAAAAAACTTTCCTGTACTAACTGCAGTGCTCATACAGTGGTAAAAAGAAAAAAAAAGAAAGGGGGGGCACTTGCTCAGTCATATTTTGAAGCAAAGTCTTGTTATTTTATGTTCTTAGATACCAGTGAATTTCTGTTTAGAATCCTGGATAAATGAGCTTTTTCACTATAAGATGAGTTCTACATTGTTATACATCTTCCAAGCTTTATAATGATAATGTATTATGTGGTTAAAAAACTATTTCTGAATTAATATTCTAAGACACCTATCAGAAACATGGAAATTGGAGCACTTATTGATAAAGCAGAGTGTCTATATCAAAGAGTTGAGATAATCAGATAGTTAAAAGGCGACCAAGAAAAAGTAGAACTACATAGGTCACTTTCTCTGGAATATATCTTTATGAGGATTCATACTTCACTTCCAAAATCCAAATAATTCACCATTGCTGAGCTACATAAGAAAAAACAATACAATTAAAGACAATGGTAACATAGTGTGGAAAAAAATAAGCTTAGTGAAATAGTTTTAAAATCATGGTCATTTAATAAAAATAGACTTGGAAACTAAGGAAAAGAGAGTTTCTTGCTTCTTACCATACTTCTGTTTTATAAGGACAACCAATCTCCTTGCTATCCATCAATCATTTGGAGGAGAAGATTATAACATCTATGGGATAAAACTAAAAGCTGTGAGATTTAGAACTTTTATAAGTTAGAAGAAAAGAAAGAGAGAAATAACAATGCATATCAAGGTATTTCACTTATTTTAATATTACACTCTGTGCAACCACTTTCATTTGTGTCACTTTCCAGATATTATTTTATTTAGTCCTCAATTTTACTAAGGCACACAGGAAAGATGTTATTATGGCCACTGTATGAGATGGAAACTGAAAGCACGATGATGCCAATAAACATCGTCAGCAAGATACCTCTGGCTTTGAGGAATAAAATCACCTGATTCGGAGGCATAAAGCTCAAGTTCGAAGAAATTATAGCGAGAAAGAAGATATAGTAAATATTTGAAATGCTAAAATCCTTATAGCATGGGACAAATGAGTATCTGTATCAGGACACAATGGACCTGTTTTCTAGCCGGCTCTGTGTTTGGATCTGCTTTAGTAATCACTAATGCAGTTCTGCAGCCGAGTCGCGGGGTGCCGCTGTTGCCTAGTGCTGAACAAAAGGTATCAGCTCCTCCTGTCGCAGAGGAATCGCCTGTGGACCGCGAAATCGCGAGATCTGTGCACTGTCAGGTTTTCTGCGGCGGAAATATCTATGCGAGAATCGGTCTGTTAAGACCTGTCAAGGAGCCTCTCCTGCTCAGAAATTCTTGGGATAATTTAGCGGTCACAGCTCTTCTGAATCAGAAAGGCAAAGGCACGGAGGGTGGGATGGGAAACCGCTTGGGACCTAAGCTCCAGGCTGGGCAGAGGCGAATGCTGTTTCTCTTCCTGCTGTCTTTGTTCCGCCCGGCGCTTTCAGAGCTAATCCGCTACACTATTCCAGAGGAGCTGGCCAGGGGCTCGCTGGTGGGGAACCTCGCCAAGGATCTGGGGCTTGGCCTGCGAGATTTGCCTACTCGGAACCTGCGGGTTAGTGCAGAGAAGAAATTCTTCACAGTGAGCACCGATAACGGAGACTTACTTGTGAGCGACCGTATAGACCGAGAGCAGGTTTGTGGCAGGAAGTCAATGTGTGTTCTGGAATTCGAAATGGTCGCTGAAAAGCCTTTGAACTTTTTTCATATAACCGTGGAGATTCAGGATGTCAACGACAGCCCACCGACCTTTAGCCAAAATGTCACTGAGCTGGAAATCAGTGAACTGACGCCAACTGGAGCCACCTTTGCCCTGGAATCTGCACAAGATTCAGATGTAGGTGTCAATTCCTTGCAGCAGTACTACCTCAGCCCTGACCCTCATTTCTCTTTGATCCAGAAGGAGAACCCAGACGGCAGTAGATACCCGGAACTGGTATTGAAGGCTCCCCTGGACAGAGAAGAGCAGTCCTGCCACCACCTGGTCCTCATGGCTGTGGATGGGGGTGAGCCAGCCAGAAGCTGCACTACCCAGATCAGGGTAGTTGTGGCAGACGCAAATGATAACCCGCCAGTGTTCACCCAGGACTTGTACAGGGTCAGTGTTTCAGAGAACTTACCCCTGGGTTCCTCTGTGATAAGAGTGATGGCCACTGACTTGGATGAGGGCATCAATGCTGAGATTGCCTACACTTTCATTAACGTTGACAAGGCAGTAAGACAACTGTTCAAGCTGGACAGTAAAACAGGGGAACTCACCACCGTTGGAAGACTGGACTTTGAAGAGAGAGAGCGCTACACAATTGGGGTAGAAGCAAAGGATGGTGGACATCACACTGCCCACTGCAAAATACAAATAGATATTTTGGATGAAAATGACAATGTTCCTGAGATAACCCTGGATTCTGAATCTAAATATATAAAAGAAGACACTGAGCTTGGGACTGTTGTTGCTTTGATCAAAACACATGATCTAGATTCTGGATTTAATGGGGAAGTCTTATGCCAAATAAAAGGAAATTTCCCGTTTAAAATAGTTCAAGATACAAAAAACACGTACAAGCTGGTGACCGAAAGAGTCTTAGATCGAGAGAAGACTCCAGAATACAATCTCACTATCACAGCTACGGACAAAGGCAAGCCGCCCCTTTCCTCTAAAAGAAGTGTCAGCTTGAAAGTCTCCGACGTCAACGACAACGCTCCGGTTTTCCACCAGGCCTCCTACGTGGTCCACGTGCCAGAAAACAACCCACCCGGCACTTCCATGGCCCAAGTTAATGCTTCGGATCCCGATTTGGGGCCCAACGGCCAGGTCTCCTACTCCATCGTGGCCAGCGACCTGGAGCCACGCGCGCTGTCGTCTTACGTGTCGGTGAACCCGCAGAGCGGCGTGGTGTTCGCGCAGCGCGCCTTCGACCACGAGCAGCTGCACGCCTTTGAGCTGACGCTGCAGGCCCGCGACCACGGCTCTCCAGCGCTCAGCTCCAACGTGAGCCTGCGCGTGCTGGTGGGCGACCGCAACGACAACGCGCCCAGGGTGCTGTACCCGGCGCTGGGACCCGACGGCTCGGCGCTCTTCGACACGGTGCCCCGCGCCGCGCAGCCCGGCTACCTGGTCACCAAGGTGGTGGCGGTGGACGCAGACTCTGGACACAACGCCTGGCTGTCCTACCACGTGCTGCAGGCCAGCGAGCCCGGACTGTTCAGCGTGGGGCTGCGCACGGGCGAGGTGCGCACGGCGCGGGCCTTGGGCGACAGGGACGCGGCCCGCCAGCGCCTGCTGGTCGCTGTGCGCGATGGGGGACAGCCGCCCCTCTCGGCCACCGCCACGCTGCTCCTGGTTTTCGCCGACAGCCTGCAGGAGGCACTGCCGGACCTCAGTGACCGCCCGGCACCCCGTGACCCCCAGGCTGAGCTGCAGTTTTACCTGGTGGTGGCCTTGGCCTTGATCTCGGTGCTCTTCTTCCTCGCGGTCATTCTGGCGGTCGTCCTAAGTTTGCGACGCTCCTCCAACCCTACCACCTGGAGTTGCTTTCAAACTAGTTTTTGCTCCAAAACTGGACCTGGAGTCCTCCCCAACTATGGGGAAGGGACTTTACCTTATTCCTACAATCTGTGTGCTGCCACACATTCCTCAAAGACTGAGTTTAAATTTCTCAATATTAAGCCTGAAAATGCTCCACCACAAGACCTTCTATGTAATGAAGCCATTTGTCTTGAAAGTACCAGCAATGACAATCCCCAAGTGACTTCTAATTCAGTCAATTTGCAACAGGTGAGTTACTTCAAAACCTTTTCCTCCCATAAATATTATTAGGTTTCAGATCATTATTTTAGAAGTTAAAAAGTATGCAGGCTAACTCTGGCAGTTTTTGGTGTTTTATTGTTTTTTTTGGACATAGAATGGGGATGGGGGGGTCTTCTGATTCTTTGATCATGTATCTGTGTCACAATAGTTCTTTCATAGAATGTCACTTAGTAATAGTCTTAAAATTTCTATTAATTCTAAAACAGTATGTCCTGAAACATTTTTAATATTCTAGTACCTTACATTCTCACTGTAAGACATTATTTGTATCTATATAGACAATTAAGTGGTTTACATAAATTCAGTGTAGTCAGTCCTAAACACTATGTGTTATATATAATATAAATATAAGAATACTTTTTCACTGTATCCTATGTATTTTCACTTTCATTGCATTTTCTTTAAAGTATACACAAATATTGGCTAAATAGTGCAGTTCTTAATCTATGTTAATAAAAATAGGTAATAACATCTAAAAATGATAACTCCTGTAACGTAGTGGTGGATTGGTTCTAAACATGTTCGTGGTTGTTGGTGCCCTTATTGAAAATTAGACAAATATAAACGATGGTGGAGTGTGGAATTCAAAACTTACGGAAAAGTGTAAAAGTATTTGTTCTCCAAGACCCTAAGAGATGTCACAAAAATAAGCATCATTCCAAGGAATATTTAAATTTTCAGAATATGACATTTTATTTTTCCAAATGCTTTTCATTCTTGGGGAGAGAAATATTGAGTATCAACTATGCATATTTAGCAGAAATAAGACCCTATGTATTGATGGTTTCCGCAGAACGGTGCAGTATTAAGTTTAGGACTCTAAGCGTCGCTGTTCACTAACCCGGGTAAGGAGAGCAGTGAAAACTCGAGTTATATCCTCAAAGCACAAAGCAGATTATACAGGAAAAGCTCTGCCGCTGCGCAGAAAGCCTTCCCTAAATCAATGCGCATCTGATCGCTGCTTGTTTATTGGCCTTGACCACCAATTCTGAGACGCTCGAAACTGATGCGAACGTGTTCCGCCTGCTCATAATCCCAGGAAGTCCAGAACGAGACAGTAATGGCGGTTCTGCAAAGCCGCTGGCATTATAGCGGGTTGATCCTGCTCTTCGTACTCCTGGGGACGCTGTGGGAGGCCAGGGCAGGGCAGATCCATTACTCCATTCCTGAGGAGCTGGACAAAGGCTCCTTCGTGGGCAACATTGGCAGGGATCTCGGGCTGGAGCCCCAGGAGCTGGCAGAGCGCGGAGTCCGCATCGTCTCCAGAGGTAGGACGCAGCTCTTTGCTCTGAACTCGCGAAGCGGCAGCTTGGTCACCGCGGGCAGGATAGACCGAGAGGAGATCTGCGCTCAGAGGTCTCGGTGTCTGGTGAATTTTAACATCCTTGTTGAGGATAAATTGAATCTTTTTCCCGTGGAAGTGGAAATAATGGACATTAATGACAATGCACCGCGATTCTTAAGGGAAGAATTGGAAGTAAAAATTACCGAAAACGCAGCCTTATCCTCTCGATTTCCACTAATGGAGGTCTATGACCTGGATGTGGGAGTGAACTCTCTCCAGGGCTGCAAGCTCAACGAGAATAGTCACTTCTCCGTGGAAATGCCAGGTAAAGCTGATGGGCCCAAATACCCAGAGCTGGTGCTGGTGCGCGCGCTGGACCGGGAGGAACAGGCCATTCACCACCTGGTCTTTACCGCCATGGATGGCGGTGACCCTGCCCGCTCCAGTGTGGCTCGAATCTTGGTAACTGTCCTAGATGCAAATGACAACGCTCCAGTCTTTACTCAGCCTGTGTATCGTGTGAGTGTCCCTGAAAATCTACCAGTAGGTACGCCAGTGTTGTCGGTAAATGCCACGGACCAGGATGAAGGAGTTCACGCGGAAGTAACATATTCTTTAGTGAGGATAACAGAAAAAATCTCAAAGACTTTCTGCCTGAATGTTTTGACTGGAGAGATATCAACTTCTGCAATTCTGGACTATGAAGACACCAGCTTTTATGAGCTGGATATTGAAGCCCGGGATCGCCCAGGTCTACAGGACAGAGCCAAAGTCTTAATTACTATCTTGGATGTGAATGACAATGTACCAGAAGTGGTAGTTACATCTGGAAGCAGATCAGTTGCTGAAAGCACACCACCAGGCACAGTGATCATTCTTTTTCAAGTATATGATCGAGACTCTGGACTGAATGGTCTGGTAACATGTTCTATCTCAGGAAGTTTGCCATTTGAACTGGAAAAATCAGTAGACAATTATTATCGACTAGTGACAAATACAGTTCTAGATCGAGAACAGGTATCCACATACAACATCACTGTGACAGCCACCGACAAAGGAATGCCGCCTCTGTCTACGGAAATGTTCATCTCCCTAAATGTGGCAGACATCAATGATAACCCACCTGCTTTTCCCCATACCTCCTACTCTGTCTACATTCCAGAGAACAATCCCAGAGGTGCCTCCATTTTCTCAGTAACTGCACATGACCCTGACAATCGTGAGAATGCCCAGGTTACCTATTCCTTAGCTGAAGACACCATCCAGGGGGTCCCTCTGTCCTCGTACATCTCCATCAACTCTGACACTGGCATCCTGTATGCATTGCACTCCTTCGACTATGAACAGTTCCGTGACCTGCAGTTGAGAGTGATTGCAAGTGACAGTGGGGACCCACCACTCAGCAGCAATGTGTCTCTGAGCATATTTGTGCAGGACCAGAATGACAACACACCTGAGATTCTGTACCCTGCCCTCCCCACTGATGGCTCTACTGGTGTGGAGCTGGCACCTCGCTCTGCAGAGCCAGGCTACCTGGTCACCAAGGTGGTGGCAGTGGACAGAGATTCAGGCCAGAACGCCTGGCTATCCTACCGCCTGCTCAAGGCCAGTGAGCCAGGGCTCTTTGTGGTGGGACTGCACACGGGTGAGGTGCGCACAGCGCGGGCCCTGCTGGACAGAGATGCTCTCAAGCAGAGCCTGGTGGTGGCTGTCCAGGATCATGGGCAGCCCCCTCTCTCGGCCACCGTCACGCTCACGGTGGCTGTGGCTGACAGCATCCCAGATGTCCTGGCGGACCTGGGCAGCCTGGAGGTCCCGCACGACTCTGACGCTTCAGGCCTCACGCTGTACCTGGTGGTGGCGGTGGCCGCGGTCTCCTGTGTCTTCCTCGCCTTTGTCATTGTGCTGCTGGCGCTCAGACTGCGGCATTGGCACCTGTCGCGTCTGCTCCAGACTTCCGGCCGCGGGTTGGATGGCCTACCGGCATCTCAGTTTGTGGGCGTGGACGGGGTGCGGGCTTTCCTGCAGACCTATTCGCACGAGGTCTCGCTCACCGCGGACTCTCGGGGGAGTCACGTGATCTTCCCGCAGCCGAACTATGCGGACACGCTCATCAGCCAGGAGAGCTGTGAGAAAAGCGAGCCTCTCTTGATTCAGGAAGATTTTTGTAAAGAGCAAGACTCCGTTGTTCAGGTGAGATTAATTGCTTTTATTGTTCTTATTTGAACAGTAAAAGTGAAAATTCTCTTGGTTCAGTGCCTGATATTCTTAGTCTTTTGCAGTGAATTATATAGTTTTGAAAGATTTTTCTTTTATATCAGTAGAGGTCTATTAAACCTTAGTTTTCTCAAATTTCACCCCAAAAATCTTAATAAAGTATGTACTGAATTTCCTTTAATTTTTCTCCTCTTGGTAAGCTGTTTGTGGCATGGGTTGCTTTCCTCTTGCTTCTTAGTTATTGTTTTTCTATTACGTGGAATATCTGAGATTCATTCTTTTATAATGTGAAAAACCTCAGAATTACAGCATCTGATAAGGAAGATCTTTTTTCTTCTCAGTGTTAACTAAAGCAGGTATTTTCTAAAATGATGGAATCTATGAGAGATATTTTCCCTTTTAACTAATTAGGAATCAAAAATGATTTTATAATAAATAAGAGTAATTGATATGTGAAGACTTGAATAATATTCCTAGAACTATCTGTTATTCTTTTAATGACAATCACAATACTTATAGCCTTCAAGTTAAAATTTAAGTTAAAAAGACTTATCTACCTCACATAAACTCTGGGAAAAGAAAATAATTTTATTAAAAAACATTCAAACTATAAAGTAGTACAGGGAGCAAGTATTTGTTTACATCACCATTATTATAATTTTGGATTGTTAACAAATAAGTATAAGTACCTGATGCTGTATGCCCACTACAATGATTTTTTTTTTTGCAGTCTGCATGTTTGATAGTATTTAAAAATGAATGTGAATTGTTAAATGTGGCAAGTAGTGTCCACTTACAAGATATATCTCTAAAAATAGAGGACTAGTGAATGAGAGAGTGAAGGATTTATAGTATTCAAATAAGAATTTAAATGATTTAGCATATTTAGCCCAGATAAAATAAAGCTTTTGTTACATGGGAACTCTATTCAAATATTTAAGGAAGGAAGAGTTGTCATTTAAAAGAATGATTACTCATTTCATCATAGCGCAAAGGTGTGAATAAAACTATGTCTTGATGAGTAGAAAACAGCAAAGTTCTGAGTTGTTAAACAGAAAATGAGTGGCCTTAGAAGCTAGAAGATTCTGTTACTGGTGGTTTTCAAAAATAAGTTGATGGTCCTGAGATTAATGGAATACAGGAGATAATATAATCTGATGAGTTGTTGAACTTCTAGCTAGCCAAGCTCTTTCCCAATCCTGAGCTTAGGGTTCTATTATTTGATAATACAATGGATTTGCCCCTTGTGCATCTCAATTTGGTATGCACATGTAAAACAGACAATTCAGAAAATGCCTTGAAAATGAATGAGAACCTCATTTGTAACCTGAAATTGTCAGTATTCGTAAAGAAAGATAATACTGAGTTGATCTCTTTAACTGCTAAGGATAGTTACTGCATGTTTTTCTAAATCACTGTTTACTTTCAGCAATTGTTATAGAATTATTTATTTCAAGGTTTCAAGTGTATATGACTAACCAAAATATTGCAATCATACACATTTCAAATATAATTTTTGGACAACATTTGTGATATGATTCTTTAGTGGTTTAATCAGAATTTAATGGTAGGTAATTTTAATGACTTCAATCCTGGGTATTGGTCATGGGAATCAGATGGGCTTTTATAGAAATATTAAGATTTGTTTCATGTACTCTGAGAGTGTGTTATTTTAGTATATTACCAACTCTGGATGATTAAACTAATCTTATACATCCGTTGTTAAAAGCAAAGCTCACTAGAGGTCTCATGGCTGGTAGACTGGTTTATTTTCTTATCTGCTGGGTAACTGAGATACGAGGCTAGTTTTCTTTATTCTCTTAACTGAATTACCTGTGAGTATTTCATTTAATCAAATAAAATGTCTCACTGACAGAAAACCTATTAGATTCTACTCTCACAGTAGTCATTCCATTCGTTCATGTGAACTGACCAAGTCTTAAATCCTGGCAATCATGGAATTTGCTAAGTTGTGACTGAGGCTCCTTTGACTTACATATTACAGGTCATTATTAATAAGATAAGAAGTCTGATAGTTTAAGCATATAATGATTTGGAACCACCAGGAAAAAAAAGTCTACCAAAGTATTGGGCTGGTTTATTACCCAGTTCTGATCAGATGTTTTGAATGGAGATCCAAGGGGAAAGAGTAAAATCTCTGAGAGGATCATTGGAAGAAATATACATCATTGCCTGGGGATGAATACCTAAACAGAACTCCAAACAAATGTTTCTTCAATAGAAAAAAAGTTGCTTAAAGAAAAGAGAGGACTTCCCTGGTGGTGCAGTGGTTAAGAATCCATCTACCAACGCAGGGGACATGAGTTGGATCCCTAGTCCTACAAGATCCTACATGCTTTGAGGCAACTAAGCCTGTTGCTCCACAACCACTGAAGCCCTAGAGCCTGTGCTCCAAACAAGAGAATCCACTACATGAGAAGCCCATGCACTGCAACTAGAGAGTGGGCCCTGCTCACTGAAGCTAGAACCCAGCACAGCTAAAAATAAATAATTTAAAGGAAAAAAAAGGGAGGTGGGAGGGGGGATTGGGATGGGGAATACATGTAAATCCATGGCTGATTCATGTCAATGTGTGACAAAACCCACTACAATATCGTAATTAGCCTCCAACTAATAAAAATAAATGAAAAAAATTTTAAAAAGGAGCAAAAGTAAATAACTTACTGCCTGGGAAGACAAATAAACTTTCCATAAATTTTTTATGTAAATAAAAAACAACTCAACCCATGCAACAACTCAACCAATAATAACACACTCCCTTTAAAAGTACAACATTATTTCAATCTTATACAGTAATTTTATGTTATATTTAAACACCTTGGTGGTTGAGTAGAGATCTTTAATATTTCATTTTATGTTGTAGAGTAACTTAAAAATCTTGATTATCTCCTTTATCTAGATTTTGTTTAGCTCCAAAGAAGGTACCCAGAAGTGTTAGGTTAATCAAGACTTTTTAAAAACAGTAGCATAAGGGACAAATATGAGATGATGCTATAAATTTTGAAGTATCAGGTAGAAAAAAATCATGATGTTGGGAGTCATATCTGTACATGAAAGTTTTGATTGAAAATGTCTGCAAGTACTCATGTCTTTAATGATCATATACTTACACCAACAAGAAATTCAAGATTGCTACTGAACAAATAGTTTTAAATTCCTATTTATGTAGTTAATCTGCAATACTCATATTGTTTCCCTTGAACAAAATGTAAGATCTTTTATCTACTTGAAAGTGAAAGTGAAGTGGCTCAGTTGTGTCCCACTCTTTTCAACCCCATGGACTGTAGCCTACCAGGCTCCTCCGTCCATGAGATTTTCCAGGCAGGAGTACTGGAGTGGGCTGCCATTTTCTTCTCCAGGGGATCTTCCCATCCCAGGGATCAAACCCGGGTCTCCTGCACTGCACACAGATGCTTTGCTGTCTGAGCCACATAGTGAAAGCAAATATGATATGAATTATTTTGATAGATTGAATTGGCATTTCTTTCAAAGTATTCCCTGTATTTTGTAGTAATGCCATCAAAGACCAGAAATAGATTACTTAGTTGCAAACTTGTCACTAACTGAGCTAAGTTTTTATAGTATTACTTCTAGTTTTCCCTTCTTGTGCTTCTAACTACTCCCCAGGGCTTAAAATAATTTATAAAGCAAGGCTATTTCTTACCAGGTCTTCATTTCAAAACAGGCCACTCTCTTCTGCAACTATGTGAAAGAAACTTTGTTTTATTTATGCCAGCAGAGAGTAACCTCAGATCCATCAACAATTGAGTTTTACTTTATTAATAGCAGTAGAGCAATGAGTACCTCTAAAGATCTGCTCAGGATAGTCCAGCATGTATGCTCAAAGGTTGTTCAGAGACCCATCTTTTCTCAAGTATAGGGTATGATGATTATTTAAATTGCATAATTAAAAGAGGCAGTGACACCAACACTTATGAATCCACAGCCAGTGGAATCTGCAAATTCCTGTCTTCTCTACAAAATGAGTTGCTTCTATAACTGATTGTAGCTGCTTGGCTTCTCACCTATCTCTAATGGCACTCTTTGAGCATAAAGCATCAGTCAAGGCCAACAATGATTCCCTTTTTTTCTTCTTAGGAGATTGAGAATGTGGATATTTCTATTCCTACATTGGTTCTATGATTATGTAGTCAAGGATAAAGCAATTCCCTCTCATTTTAAAATTTATTAAAATAAAGGAATTTAAACAGTCTCTAAGGTTTCAGTCAATAAAAAGTTATTACATTACTCCTATGTATATTAAAGATAAAATGGACTCTCTGCCTTATTACAAGTTGTGTCTAGAACATAGAATATGTTCAGTATTATTGAATTAATTTAAATATGCTGATATAAATGTTTCTACATAATATCTTACATATACAGACACCTTTTAAAAGTAAATCATACTTGTTTTATTTGCATGACTGATTTTTATCTATGTGAACTGAAGTGTGAGGCAGTGTCTAAGAATCTTTTCAAAGTTGCAATGAAGAGCCGAGAATTTAAAAGAATTATCTGGGATTAATAAACACCCATCCATGAACATTGTTACATTAAGTCACAATTTCTTAAAATTTATTTTAAGTGATATAGCAGAGATGCATGAATTGAAGAAATGAAAGAATTTCAAAGGATAAAACAACTTTCTGAAAAATCAGTTATTTTGCTTCAGTATGGTGCAGTAACTTAGTAAGGACTCTGAGCGCCGCTGTTCACCAACCAGGGGAAAAATGGTTCACAAGATCCGCCGGAACCACTGAGATTTTACAGCACAAAGAAACGCCAGACTGAGATAAACTCTCTTCCAAGCTGCACTAAGTTCAGTCCTCTACACCATTGGATTCTGGGCTTCTTTTCCGAATACACAGGGCTTCGCGCAGACGTCCTGGCATCCAGAAATAGAACAGGAGATAGGCCAGTGTCTAAAGATCAGCAGGACAAGAATGGCGGCTCGGCAGAGGGGCGGGGACTACAGAGCATTCATCCTGCTCTTCATCCTCCTGGGGACCCAGAGCGAAGTCTGGGCAGGACAGATTCTCTACTCCGTGCCTGAGGAGACAGAGACGGGGTCTTTTGTCGGTAATATCGCCAAGGATCTGGGACTGGAGCCCAAGGACCTGGCGGAGCGCGGGGTCCGCATCGTCTCCAGAGGTAGGACGCAGCTCTTCTCTCTGAATCCGCGAAGCGGCAGCTTGGTCACCGCGGGCAGGATAGACCGGGAGGAGCTCTGCGCCCAGAGCGCGCGATGTCTGGTGAACTTTAACATCCTGGTGGAAGATAAAATGAATCTTTATCGTATAGAAGTGGAAATAATGGATATTAATGACAACGCTCCTAAATTCTTGACGGAAGAAATGAATGTGAAAATAATGGAGAATACAGCTCCGGGGGTGCGATTTCCGTTAAATGAGGCTAGGGATCCGGATGTGGGCACGAACTCTCTCCAGAACTACCACCTCAGCCCCAATCGCCACTTCTCCCTGGTTGTGCACACCGGAGAGGATGGAACCAAATATCCGGAATTAGTGCTGGATCAGGTACTGGACCGGGAAGAAGTGGCAACTCACCACCTCCTCCTCACCGCCTCTGACGGCGGTGACCCACCACGATCCGGAACCGCCCGTGTCCAAGTAACAGCGGTGGACGTGAATGATCATGCGCCAATCTTCTCTTTGCCCCAGTACCAAATAACTGTCCCTGAGAACGTGCCAGTGGGCACAAGACTGCTCACGGTAAGTGCTATAGATCTGGATGAGGGAGTGAACGGGGAAGTGACATACTCTTTCCCGAAAATAACTCCAAAAATTCTACAGATATTCCAGCTGAACTCTCACACAGGAGAATTATCAACTCTAGATTGCCTAGATTATGAAGAATCTGGCTACTATGAAATGGAAGTTCAAGCTCAGGATGGTCCTGGTAGTATAACAAGAGCTAAAGTACTGATCACAATTTTAGATGTGAATGACAATGCCCCGGAAGTGACTGTAACATCTGTAGGCAGCTCAATCCCCGAAGACACTCCTCCTGGAACAGTGGTGGCTCTTTTCTACCTTCAAGACCGAGATTCTGGGAAGAATGGCCAGGTGACCTGCACTATTTCAGAAGATCTGCCTTTTAAATTAGAAAGATCTATAGACAACTACTACAGATTGGTGACAGCAGAAAACTTAGACCGGGAAAAATTCTCTGCGTATAACATCACACTGAAAGCCACAGATGGTGGACGCCCACCCTTGTCCACGGAAACTCACATCACCATGAATGTGGCAGACACCAACGACAACCCACCTGCCTTCCTGCACTCCTCATACTTTGTCTATGTGCCTGAGAATAACCCCAGAGGCACCTCCATTTTCTCTGTGACTGCACATGACCCTGACAGCAACGAGAACGCCCGTGTCACATACTCCCTATCTGAAGATACTCTCCAGGGGCCATCTGTGTCCTCCTACGTCTCCATCAACTCTGATACTGGTGTCCTATATGCACTGTACTCCTTCGACTATGAGCAGTTTCGGGACCTGCGGTTGCGAGTGATTGCAAGTGACAGTGGGGACCCACCACTCAGCAGCAATGTGTCTCTGAGCATATTTGTGTTGGACCAGAATGACAACACACCTGAGATTCTGTACCCTGCCCTCCCCACTGATGGTTCCATGGGCGTGGAGCTGGCACCTCGCTCTGCAGAGCCAGGCTACCTGGTCACCAAGGTGGTGGCAGTGGACAGAGACTCGGGACAGAACGCCTGGCTGTCCTACCGCCTGCTCAAGGCCAGCGAGCCAGGGCTCTTTGTGGTGGGACTGCACACGGGTGAGGTGCGCACAGCGCGGGCCCTGCTGGACAGAGATGCTCTCAAGCAGAGCCTGGTGGTGGCTGTCCAGGATCATGGGCAGCCCCCTCTCTCGGCCACCGTCACGCTCACGGTGGCTGTGGCTGACAGCATCCCAGATGTCCTGGCGGACCTGGGCAGCCTGGAGGTCCCGCACGACTCTGACGCTTCAGGCCTCACGCTGTACCTGGTGGTGGCGGTGGCTGCGGTGTCCTGTGTCTTCCTCGCCTTTGTCATCGTGCTACTGGCACTCAGACTGCGGCGTTGGCACAAATCTCACATGCTGCAAGCTTCGGGAGGTGTCCCCGGAGGTGTACCGGCATCTCAGTTTGTGGGCGTGGACGGGGTGCGGGCTTTCCTGCAGACCTATTCGCACGAGGTCTCACTCACTGCAGACTCTCGGAGGAGTCACGTGATCTTCCCTCAACCCAACTATGCAGACACACTCATCAGCCAGGAGAGCTATGAGAAAAAGGATCCCTTGTTAACATCCATAGATTTTCATGAATGTAAGGATGAAGCTCAAAGTATTCAGGTGAGTTCAGTCATTCATTTTATATCGTCGAGAAATTATATTTTGTGTAAATGTTATTGTTTTGCGAAATACATGATTTGAAGATGAAGTTAAAAATACTTTCAAGTGATAAAGCAAGATTAATTGTTTACTTCAGTGGTGATTTTTTAACATGGAACACTTACTGACAGAGTGTTTTAGTACCATATTTATGGTGAAAGCGTATGGACAAGATTGTGACTAAGTGGACAATCACATTTTTATGCCTTGTATTTGTGTTCCTCATGGTGTTCTTAATTCATGTATTTTATAAATGAGAATGAACTGTTAAGTCTTATTGCACAAGGTTAGCAAGAAAGTACACCTCAGCCTTCTCAGGATTCTCTTTAGATCATATCTGTAAAAGGTTGTTGAAGAAATTTTCAGTCTGCAAACTTCTTTTTCTGTGCCCTGCTTCCACTTCCATGTACCTCTTTGGTGGCCTTGAAACATCTCAGTTGCTCTTGACCTATTTAAACTTTAATCACCTATTAAAGCCAGATTCTGGTAGAAGTTTTGTTGATGTTTAATGGATGAAATTTATGTGTCAGGCTTCACTAAGATCTTTATCAATGACAGATGTGGAGTCTAATGGCATACTAAAGATTGCTGTCCAAAATCAATAAAATGAGATATCAAGTAAAGTGTTAAGTGTTATAAGTAACATTTGTGAAATAGGCCATTGCATGTTTTAACCCAAATTTTCATGTGCTGTTTTAGTGATGCAGTCACGCAAAGTGTGTATGTGGGCTCTACGAGTGGGAAAGTTGGGATGCTGGCTTTATGAAACAACTATGTCATACACTCAAGTCCTGGAGTGGTAGTAAATTTTACTTATTGGGTCTGTTGAAAAATTCAGTTAGAGACAATTTAATCTGTAATTAACTACATCTTCACTTATTATATAACATTTTAGTAAAACTCAATACAGCAGTTGACTAGTATCAGGGAGCAGTTGATGACAAGGTCATCTTGTTTATTGGGGCCTTTTGAGTGTTAAGAGAACAATTTTTTTCTAGCGTAGTGTCTAGCATATGTTTTTCTGCCATAAGGTGGTGGTTTGCATCTAAAGATCTGTGCAATCCTGTGGAAGTACACTTCATACATTCTGTAACACTCAGATGTACAGTCACTTGGGGGAGAGAACAGTGTTACATTCTGTGGGGAAGAAATGTGATTATCAGATATTTTGAAAAAGAACCCTCCAAGTAAATTTATTAATTGTTAAAAATACTTTTAAACAAAGGGGAGAGATCATCACTAAAGTCAGTGAGCTATTATACATTTTCTAGGGACTGTTTCCTTCAACTGTCATTATGGGATGTGATAAGTACAGAAGTGGGAACAAGTGCCTCAGTACAGTAGACCATGCTTAGTGAGTTTGTGATGCAAAGCAAAATAGAATTTTCCCCTGGTAGTTTTGGAGACTCATGTTGAATTTTATACTCAGGAAAATAATCATGCAATGGGAAGGAGAGGATAGGCTCTTCTCTGAAAGGCTATCATCATTTCTTTAAGTGAGATATCAGAATTGAAAACCAAATGTTACTATAAAGAATTTGCTAAAATTATTTTGGAACAAGAGAGGTAAGTATAAATTGTGCCTTTTGAAAGACATAATTTCACCATTACTGTTGCCCTCTGGGAAGAAAAATGGAAATGAATTAGGTACAAAAAAATGTAAGGAAGAATAAAGAAAAAGGTGACAAGGAAACCTTATCCAATATATTGCTAATTAATGAGTATTCACAACAGCTATGATCTGAGATCCTTTAAGCCAAATCTGTGTTATAGTAATCATCCTATTACTAGTGCGGATTTGAAGGTTGGGGAGTAATTATGTCAGTGTATAGATGTTTATATATTAAACTTACCGATTGACCTGAAAACATGGAAAGTTGGGATGATGACGCTTCTAATAGAATTAAATGTTACGAGATATGCATGCGTACTCAGTCGCTAAGTCGTGTCCAACTCTTTTGACACCACGGATTCCTCTGTTCATGGGATTTCCCAGAGAAGAATACTGGAAAGGGTTGCCATTTCCTTCCCCAGGGGATCTTCCCCACCCAGGAGTCAAACGCGCGCCTCCAGCATGACAGGGGGATTATTTGCCCCTGAGCCACGTGGGAAGCGTGTTATTAAACAGTCTGACGTCTTTTAAAAATGATTTTTCAGCTGGATACACGGTAGTAATTACGGTAGCTGGTTAAAGTGAAGCAGCAGGGGCTGCAGTTTCCCAGTGCGGACTCTGGGCGCCGCTGTTGGCCAAAGTCGAGAGCTTCGTGCTGGCGATCCCGTCGCGCAGCCGCAGAGCACTTTGCCGATCTCAAGACTCGCTAGTGTTGTCTTTCCACCAATTCCTCCTCTGGAGAAGAAACCCTGCCTGACCCTCACGCCGAAAATAAAGCTGTTGGGAGCTCCGGACGACTGCAACAAAGACATTATTTGTAACCCGGCGTCTCCAAGCCGGTGAGCAAACTAAGGAGGGGAGCAAGAGGGATGGGGAGCGGCGCTGGGAAGAGCGGCTGGTCTGAGAGGCGGCCAGTGCTCTTTCCGTTCCTGCTGTCTTTGTTCTGCCTGGCGCTCTCTGAGCAGATCCACTACAGGATTCCCGAGGAGATGCCGGAGGGCTCGGTGGTGGGGAATCTCGCCAAGGACCTGAGACTCAGTGTCCACGAGTTACCAACTCGAAAACTGCGCGTCAGTTCGGAGAAGCCTTACTTCACTGTGAGCGCGGAGAGCGGGGAGTTACTTGTGAGCAGCAGGCTAGACCGGGAGCAGATATGCGGGAAGAAGTCAGCTTGTGCTCTGGAATTTGAGGTTGTTGCTGAAAATCCATTGAACTTTTATCACGTGAATGTAGAGATCGAGGATGTCAATGACCACACGCCAGAATTCTCGCAAAATTCCTTTGAGCTACAAATAAGTGAGTCCACAAAGTCCGGGGCACGATTTATTTTAGGATCTGCTCATGATGCAGATATTGGTACCAATTCCCTACAGAATTACCAGCTCAGTCCTGATGATCATTTCTCACTTGTGATTAAAGAGAAGTTGGATGGCAGTAAATACCCTGAGCTGGTACTAATGACATCTTTAGACAGGGAAGAACAGAAATCCTACCACTTGACCTTGACAGCCTTGGACTTCGGGGATCCACCCCTAAGCAGTACTGCACAGATACAAGTCCTGGTGACTGATGCCAATGATAACCCTCCAGTGTTCAGCCAAGAACTATATAGGGTGGAGCTTCCAGAAAACGTGCTTCCAGGCACCACTGTGCTTAGAGTAATGGCCACTGACCAAGATGAGGGTGTCAATGCTGAGATCACTTTCTCTTTCACTGAAGCAGACCGAATTACCCAGTTTGACCTGAATTCTGATACTGGGGAAATTATTATTCTAAATACATTAGATTTTGAGGAAGTGAAAGAATATTCCATAGTTTTGGAAGCAAAGGACGGTGGAGGAATGATTGCCCAGTGTACAGTGGAGATAGAAGTCCTAGACATAAATGACAATGCCCCAGAAGTGATATTTCAATCTCTACCGGATTTTATTATGGAGGACACCAAGCTGGGAACACACATTGCTTTGCTCAAAATCCGAGACAAGGATTCCGGACACAATGGAGAGGTTATTTGTAAATTAGAAGGCGATGTTCCATTTAAAATACTGATTTCTTCAAGAAACACATATAAATTAGTTACAGATGGAGTTCTAGACCGCGAACAGACCCCTGGGTATAACATCACCATCACAGCCACCGACAAAGGCAAGCCACCCCTCTCCTCCAACTCGAGCATCACGCTGCACATCGGTGATGTAAACGACAACATGCCAGTTTTTGAACGGGCTTCCTATGTGGTCCATGTAGCAGAGAACAACCCACCTGGTGCCTCCATCACTCAAGTCAGCGCCTCCGACCCCGACCTGGGACCCAATGGCCTGGTCTCCTACTCCATCGTGGCCAGCGACCTGGAGCCACGCGCGCTGTCGTCTTACGTGTCGGTGAACCCGCAGAGCGGCGTGGTGTTCGCGCAACGCGCCTTTGACCACGAACAACTGCGCGCCTTCGAACTGACGCTGCAGGCCCGCGACCACGGCTCTCCAGCGCTCAGCGCCAACGTGAGCCTGCGCGTGCTGGTGGGCGACCGCAACGACAACGCGCCCAGGGTGCTGTACCCGGCGCTGGGGCCCGACGGCTCGGCGCTCTTCGACACGGTGCCCCGCGCCGCGCAGCCCGGCTACCTGGTCACCAAGGTGGTGGCGGTGGACGCAGACTCTGGACACAACGCCTGGCTGTCCTACCACGTGCTGCAGGCCAGCGAGCCCGGACTGTTCAGCGTGGGGCTGCGCACGGGCGAGGTGCGCACGGCGCGGGCCTTGGGCGACAGGGACGCGGCCCGCCAGCGCCTGCTGGTCGCTGTGCGCGATGGGGGACAGCCGCCCCTCTCGGCCACCGCCACGCTGCTCCTGGTTTTCGCCGACAGCCTGCAGGAGGCGCTGCCGGACCTCAGTGACCGGCCCGCGCCCTCTGACCCCCAGGCTGAGCTGCAGTTTTACCTGGTGGTGGCCTTGGCCTTGATCTCGGTGCTCTTCCTCCTGGCAGTGATTCTGGCGGTCGCCCTGCACCTGCGACGCTCCTCCAGCCCTGCTACTTGGGGCTGCTTTAAGCCTGGTCTCTGTGTCAAGCCTGGACCTGGGGTTCTCCCCAACTACAGTGAAGGAACTTTACCTTATTCATACAATCTGTGCGTTGCCCATGCTGGAAAGACAGAGTTTAATTTTCTAAAATGTAGTGAGCAGCTGAGTTCAGGACAAAACATACTTTCTGGTGATTCATCTGGAGCCTTATTTCCCTTTTGTAATTCCAATGAGTCGACTTCTCATCAGGTGAGTTTCCTGTAAGTATAACCTTCTTTTTATTGTGTCGACAGTTCTCCACATTCACAGAAAAAAACTGGCACATCTCTGTTTTAGTTCAATTTGCTTCATTGCGGTTTGAAGATACTCCAGTTTTATTTTGTTTTGTTTTTTCACATTGATGATTTATGGCAAGCCTGAGTCAATCAAGTCTATAGGCACCATTTGTACAACAGCATTTCCTCACTTCATGTGTGTTACAGTTTGGTAAATCTCAAAATATTTCAAACTTTTTTTTATTATAGTCATCATGTGAAAGTGAAAGTGTGAAAGTGTTAGTCCCTCAGTCTTGTCCCATTCTGCGACCCCATGGACCTAGGACTGTAGACTACCAGGTTCATCTGTCCATGGAATTCTCCAGACAGGAATTCTGGAGTGAGTAGCCATTCTCTTCTCCAAGGGATCTTCCCTACCCAGGGATTGAACCCTGGTCTCCTGCATTGCAGGCAGGTTCTTCATCATCTGAGCCACTAGGGAAGCCCTGTGGTGATCTATAACCAGTGATCTTGGATGTTACCATTACACAAAGATTATGTTCCACCCACCAAAGACTCCAGTGATGGTTAGTGTTTTTTAGCGATGAAGTGTTTTTAATTAAGGTATGTACTTTTTTAGATACAATGCTATTGCATACTTAAAACATAACTTTTATATACACTGGGAAACCATAACTTTCGTGACCCACTTTATTGTGCTGTTCTCGTTATTGTAGTGGTCTGGAACCAAACATAAAATGTCCCCAAATGCATCTATACAAATTTTAGATCTAAACATTGTCTTAAGAATGTGGTAACCAGTCAAAAAGCTGTCATACCATTTTTCAAGGGAGGTTGAATTCAGAGAAATTATGTGTCTTTTAGTGGTGTCTTACCAGGTTCATATTATAAAGCAGTGAAGTTGTGGTTTTTTCCATAAGGGAAACTTTTGGCAATGTTATATGGTCTCCCATAAAGCTACTGAGATTTTTCTCTAAATTTTTCTTTCTACTGATTAATAAATGATTATTTTTTTCTCAACTAGACATGCTGCAAATGTAAAAGTAGGCAATCATATAAATAAATCTTAAAAGAAAAACAAGCTAAAATTAGATATTTTTCTTAATTGATTTAGCTGTTATTGTTTCCATATTAATCTGATACTTTGCTTCCTGTATTTAATTCTCTTTTGCTTCAAAAGCACCAGAATAAGGTCGATTAACCTATATTTTTATGTAGATATACCTACTGTAATTGCATTCATTGTACTGTGTGTATATATGTTTGTAAAATCATTTTACTTGACTAAGTGCAGCACAGGTTCACTATGCTCATTAGAAAATAAAAGCATGTTCTCCTTACTTGCAGCATAGGTTTTTCAAGATTAACCTGTAATAATGCTCATTCTATAGGCTCCTCTGTAAAAAAAACCACAATGTTTTGGCCTCTGTTGTTCCCCTTACACACACTTCTGCTACATTATTTTTGAAATGTCTATTTTGCAGACATAAACTAATATAGCTAGAGGTCTTCTAGTCATTCTACTATCTCTAGGAGAAAATGGAATGTTGAAGTTTAGACCAGATTAACAGTCTCAAGTGGATACGGTTACATATACAAGATAGCAATACATTATATCAGGCTTTTGCTATACTTCCCTTAGTAACTGCTTCGATTAATGGCCATTTTACAAACTACTGAAGGAAAAAGACATTTATTCTTGCACTGGCATTTTTTGACTCCTTAATGATAATTACATGTTTCTTACTTTTGTGATTCTTTTGATTGAAGTAGTAATTAAGATAAAGTTACCTTTAGGCTATTTGTTTACCTTTAGAAGTTAATTAAGTTGGCTTTAAAATGTAATCATCTCTCATAGGCAGAAGAATAGATAAAAAATTGCTTTCGATTATATATTCATTTGTACCTTTATTCAAATAGAAATTATATAAAATTTAAATAGTCTGTGATATAACTTGAAAGGAAAAGCATTATCCTATTATTAAAATTTCACAATATTAATTTCAAAACACTACTGTGTGACTAAAATAGCATTTTAAAAAGAAAATTAAAAGGCAACAACTCTACAGAAAGCTTGCTATATAGACTAATTGGTTTAAACCAAATAAAACAACTTCTGAATCAGTCATCTCCAATAGGTATATTTTAGCCTAAAAATGAATTAATTTCCAATAATGAGTGGGGTTCTTACTTAGTTGATAATAGATATTGAAGATATTAACAATAATGCTTAGAGCATAATAAATAAAATTGTATTTTTAAAACAGTAAATACATTACAAAAATTTGAGTAACAATATG